TCTCTACGTGTACCCCCCACCTCTAGCCAACCACAAACCGAAAGCACTTTTAAGAACCTACTTGCATAGGTTCCTATAAGAACCAGGACATATAAACAGTAGCTTTCTCACACTTTCCTAACTTTCTACAATTAGTGGACTAGTTACTGAAAAGAATGTTTTAGCAGGAGCATGCTTTTGTGTTTTAGTTTGGCCACTCTTGTTCCTGGGAAAGTTCATGAAACTCAAACCTCTAACCCAGACTTGTCCCCACTAGTCAAAATGCAGCCACATTAGGATGGAGGCTGGAGGGGGGCGTTCAAAACCACACTGATGCCCCATAGAGAATTTAAACCAAGAACATACTCAGGGCCAGCCCACGCCAGGGCAGACAGAATTGTAGGTTGTAATAACAAGGGATTTCACTAGAATATGTCTATTCTGAGGGGTCATTTTCTAAGTCAGTTTCAACAGAAAATAATCTGATTCATGGTCTTCATATTGATAGACCATGAGCCCTGACTTTAATTTAGGGAAAACTTGCCACTTTATTGAGGTGGCCACCTGATGCAAAGAGCTGATTCACTGGGAAAAAAACAGAAGCTGGGAAAGACTGAGGGCAGAAGGAGAAGGGAGCTACAGAGGATGAGATGGTTGGATGGCATCACTGACTCAATGGACATGAGTTTGAGTAAACTCCGGGAGATAGTGAAAGACAAGGAAGCCTGGAGTGCTGCAGTCCATGGGGTCGCAAAGAGTCAGACACGACTTAGCGACTGAACATCAATAATTCCTGACTTATTTGATCTTAAAAGTTCTCTGCATCCTTCTTTTGATTTAATGATCAATTGTAGAACCTAACCATCCTTAGTCCAGAGTTCTTCCGCAGAGCTACCCCAAAGTCTATCTGCCAATGTTTAAACTGGAGCTCATTTTTTAGATATGGAGACATGTCTTAGAAGAAAACACCAATTATTTGTAACAACTGAATTTCGGGACCCAATTATATAAAACTTAACCTTTCTGGTGATCCTTTGCATTGGCTAATATTTATATGAATTCACGTTTCCCAGGGAACACACTAACTCCACAATTAGGGCTGGCTGGGGTAACCTGGGGAAGCTGATTTAGGTTTTGACATTGGACTTGTATAATCCATCAAAGTTTATTACTGTTTGGCTGGAGTAGAATGAAGAACTGAGAGTCATTTCCTCTTGTTCTTTCCTCTGCAGAAAGGAGAAACAGCTGGCTCTCCTTGTAAGAACTTAGCCTCACCCTCACTCCCAGGCCAGCACATTCCTGAAGGAGACTGGCCTGGATCTTTCTAGTTCAAAGTCAGCTCACCTCATCCAAACAGTAAGAGAACTCGTTATACAGTGCTGCTCACGAGGCGACTGGTCACACTTCTCTGTGCTTGCATGCAAGGTACTCAGCCAGCATTTATCACTTTATTATTGCTAAATTTTCACAATACGAATATAATGGCTAACATCTACTTTTTTTAGACACCAGCTCTTGTACTAATGACACTTCTGGCATTATCTCAGACCTCCCAATCATGATTTTGATGTTATTATCCTTATTTCGTAAAACAAAGAACAGAGACTTGGATAAGCCATGGTCACATAGCTGGTCTAAAGCTGGTCACATAGCTAAGCTCTGAAATTAAACAATTCTCTTGAATCTGGCAGGGATCTTCCTATACATAGAACTGTCCTAACTGATTGAATAATGGGGTTGAGATTAGCAGCCTTCTTTCCCTCCACATCTTCCTCCCTCATCCCTACTGCCTCTGCCCCTCATCCCACCTGGTGGGGCCTCAATGCTGGTGAGGTGGCAGTTGCATTCTGCGAACAGATCTTCTTAGAGAAAAAAAAAGAGAGAAGAAAAACCAAAACCTGTCTATCTGAATGTAACCAGAGACTAGCATGCCTGTTTCGGTGTTTTAATTACTGAAATAAAGGCAGCTGTGTTTATTTCTATGTTGGCTCTTGCAGACAAGGGTTCACTTATTTAACTAGGGACAACCAGGTCATACAAAGTCTGGGATGCGTTTCATGTTCTCAGTTATACTCTGAGTGTCTGTGCCAGGAAAGCCCACATCCATTCTAATGACCAGCCTCAAGAAGGACGAGGACAGATGGTCCAGAGGTGGTCACTGGAACTCTGGTTTTTGAAAGCTCTGATGTATTTTGGGCTCAATTCACATCTGGGCAATTAGCTTCAAACCCCAACCATATGTGTTTCTCATCATCCTCAAAACAGAGGAATGTCCAACACCTAACACTAAACCCAGTACTGGAAAGGAGTGTTGGGGGAGTGTTGTGGTCCTCGGAGGATGTTAAGAATCAAAGCTCATGGTGAGAGATGGGGCCTTGGAGGCCTCAGGAATGGAACCATGGCAGAAAGAAAGATCAAGACCATTGGCTTAACCCTTCTTCCAGCTAAAACCTCTCTTTCTGACACTATCATGCAGTGCAAAGAACACAGGTTTCACTGCAGGCTGACTTGTGTCTCCACCCCACCCCACCCCCAAAATTCATATGTCGAAGCCCTATGGCCACAGTGTGACAGCATTTGGAGATGAGGCCTTTGGGAAAATTAGGTTTTGACGAGGTGATAAAGGTAGGGCCCTCAACACTCATGCTGGGATTAGCATCCTTACAAGAACGGACACCAGAGACCATGCCCTCTCCTCTTCGTGCGCAGAGGGGCTGTGCAGGGACACAGCAAGGAGGCAGCAGGGAGTGATATGGTTGTCTGCCAGAGAGAACAATGGTTGTCTGGCAGCTCTGTGAGCTGGGTTGAGTGTGGTGGAGGTGAAAGGCACCTAGCACTTTTCCTGGCACCTCCATCCATGTCAGCTCCCTTTCTCCCAACTCTAGGGTCCTTAGTGCTAGAATCTGGAATGCAACATTCCCATCAGCGATGCCTCCCATGCATGTGATGGCCGATCTCACAAATGGACACCTCTTTGGTCAACTTCAGCCCGTGGATGTGTTTTGTTTGCCTTATACTGATGTTTGGGGACATCTGGATCATTTATCAACATTTAAAAGATATGAAATTTCATGTAAAAATCTCAGTCTCTGGTTCTTCTTGAGAAATAAGATGGCATGACACTGGACTGCATTCTTCCAGCGGGGAGGGGGAGTGGAATCCCCTTGCGCAGAGAGTTAGCCCTCACTTCCATCCACCAGGCTGGCTTCACCCACTTAGACCTGCTGGCACCTGCAGGCCTCTCGGTGGGCGGCCCATGGGTTAACAGGGCTGGTACAATCTGGCGTGACCTGTACTTTTCCTAGCTGCCCACAAACAATGGTTTTTAAGTACAATTTCAGGATCCATCCCCTGATGCAAGGAACAATTAGCACGTTCCTGAGTCGCCACTTTATTTATTTATACATCTATTGTGAGCTAAGGAACATTCATGGAGAGGCGGGGATCTTAGTTCTTGGAGTGAAACTCAGCTTTTGCAACCGGGAGGTTGGCTGACCCAGCTTTGCCCCTGTCACTCAACTTCTCGGGGACTCAGTTTCCTCCTCTGTGAAAATGGGGCCTTGGGAGAGATGATCTCTATTGTGTCTTTCCATATTTGTGTAATTCTTATGTGAAATTCAAGCACATGGCTAGAAATTTAACACAACTCTCTTTACTTCTGAGCTCTAAAGGTTTTCATGAAAGCAGAGCTCTTAAAACACTTCACTGACCCTTAATATAGGTCTTAAGTAAATGTAAACAGGACTCAAAGAATGGCCTTGTTTAATGTTCTGCCCACTTCAGGCTTGGGTCTTTAGCCTTGATGCTCTGCACTTAACACACCCAAGAGGAATGAACACCAGCGCATTAAAAGAACTGATGTCCAATTCTTGTCCCCAGGAGATCCTGGGGCTCTGGGCCATGCCTGCTTCTCTGCCCTCATTTTACCAAAACACAAATCCAACCACACCACCACCCAACCCCCAGTGTTCTGGGCAAGTGGGCTTACTTTCAGTTCTGTGCTCAGGTCCGTTTCTACCACAGGACCTTTGCACCTGCAGTTGCCACTACCTGGAGCCCTCTTCATTTAGTTAATATCCACTGATCCATCAGATGACAGCACAAGCGTCACATCACCATTCCTGGCCTCCTTGGCAAGACCAAGTCCTACTAACAGTTGTGTTGTGGTCGCTGTCACAGCTACATTATTATTAATACATTTTTTATGTGTGATCAGTTGACTAATGATTATTGCCCCAACTGAACATATTATAAATTCCAGGAAGAGCCGTGTCTCCATCTATCTTTATTCATTCTTGTGTTTCCAGTGCCTGGCTAATGGGGAGGCACAAAAGCATTTGATGCATGAATGAATGAACCAGTAGTAGACACTACTGGGAAGATTCTGGAAGACAAACTCTCCAAGGACCATATCTTATCGAGAGTTTGATCACCAAAACCTAATAGCAATGACAGTGAAAATGATGGTAAGAGCTCCGAGTACCAAGTACTTCATGCATTTCCAACTCTGTTCTGACAGACTATCTATGCAGTAACTCAACACCTCACAAGAACTTACGGAAGTTGGCGCATTTCCTATCCCTGTTTCACATAAGAGAAGGCCAAGGCACGAAGAGCTCGGTAAACCTCTTAGTAAAAGGAAGAACAGCTATAAAATCCTAAGCAGTCTACTCCCAACCACTAGACCATGCTGCCTAATACGGTCAATGAGGCACAAGAAATGTTTACAGAGTAAGTGACAGCTGCTAGATGTCACCCTCTAGCCCTGAGCCCCAGCCATCCACACATGCACCATATACATGGACAAAGGGACAGGCCCTCTCTGGAGCAGAAGTCTAGACAGACAAGGGCCCCGGAACTTGACAGTCAGAAAAGATTCAGAAGAGCCAACAGAAGCACCAATAAGAACCAAGCAGAAAATAGAAAATAAGGTGAGGCTCCAGGAGTGATGGTGAGGTGTAGCCCCTCTGCCCCAGATCAGGCCCATGGGCGGGAGAGTCCCCACCAGGCCAGCCACATACCTGATATTTTCATTCAGCGCATAGAGCTCATTGCTCTGCAAACCGCCCCCTTTAAAGACGTTGATCACGGCAGTCTGGACGCTGTGGGGAAATAGAAAGACCCCTGGTGAGTGGATCTGCTTCCCAAGCGCCACCTCCACAAGCGGCTCAGAGCCAAAGGTAGGGAGAAGGGCGAGGAAGCCCGGGGCACAGGCAGGACCACGTTTTCTCTCCCTGGAATCCATCACATGCACACGAGAGTCCTTGGAGAGGGAGGAAGACTGAGCCCCAGAAGACAGAAAGAAGCCCTCTCCCCGCACTTTCTCGCAGGCTGGCAGCCCTGCTGGGAAGCAGCCTTACTCAAGGGCGGGCAGTGGGATCTGCCCTCGGGAAACCGCGTGGCCAGCACCTGCGGGCCTGGAAGAATCCAGCGTGGCTCTGGCCGCAAGCAGTTCAGCCCAGCCTGCGGGTCTCTCACTTAGGAGGCCTCTGTCTTCACAGCCTGGAGAAGATCACGCCTTGGCTTATCTTCTTTTTTTTTTAATTTTGCAATTGTGGATTTTAATTGTCCTCGCCTTTTGTTTTACTTTTTTAAAAAAATTGGAGTATATATAATTGCTTTACAATGGTGTATTAGTTTCTGTGATACAACCACGTGAATCAGCTATACGTATACATAATATCCTTTCCTTCCTGGACCTCCCTGCCAGCTCCCCGCTCAATCCCACCCACCTAGGTCAGCAAGGAGCACCGACCTGAGCTGGCGCTATACACCAGCTTCCCACCAGCGACCTGTTTCACAGCCGGTGCTGTACGTTCGTCACTGCTAGTCTCCTAATTCATCCCGCCCGCCCCTCCCCCTCTGTCCACATGTCCCTTCTCTATGTCTGCATCTCTGTTCCTGCCCTGCAGATACGTCCATCTGGACCATTTTTTCTAGATTTCACATTCATGCCCCAATATACGATATTTGCTTTCCTCTTTCTGATATTTGTTTTCATACTTCACTCTGTATGACAGACTCTAGGTCCAGCCTTTCAATGGTACTTTCTGGGAAGAACTCCAGAAGGGCTGGCCTCACTTCCCCTTCCCCTCCCACGAGTGTCCAGGCAGGAGAGTTGATCCCTTGAAGGACCCAGGTAAGTCTCTGGACCCAGCCCAGGATTTCAGCAAGGAGCTGATCACAAGTTTGTCTTCACCCCAGGTTTCAGGCTTTTTTAAAATGAACCAGGTTCATTTTAAGTAGAACCAGGTTCTACTTACCATCAAAACATTTCAGATCTCTCCTCCCTCACCATCATGAGTTGTGTGTTCGTTAAAAAAAAAAAACGATAATGATCCAAATGACAAAAAAAAAAAAAAAACCACTTCAGTAATGCTTTAAAATAACAATGCATTTGATTTATCCAAAGAGGAACCAAATTTGAAAAACAGCTCCAGGAGGGTGAGACATAGTATGGATTCAGTCTCTACTCAGTACCTGGTACACAGATTGGCTGGACACTTAGGAAGGTGCAGTGTCTCCTCTCCCAGCCACCAGTAGCTTCTGGGTGGGGATCAACCCTGGTCTATGCTGCGTTGCTAGCGTTTCACAGATACGTGTCAAATCTTCCCAAATAGGTAGCAGGTGACTGGAAGTTATTTAGACGTTCCCACCCTCGGGTCTCTGACAACTGGCGTGGGACTAATGTTAAGCTTTGATACAACTGTCCTGGGCTGGTTAACTGACTTTGAGAGCCCAGAAGCCCCCAGTGGTCCGCTTTCCCTCTATTCAAACAAGGAAAGACGGAGAGAGAAAGAGGGACAAGCTAGGAGTATGGCATTAACAAGCTAGGATACAGCAACCAGGATTTCCTGCATAGTACAGGGAACTATATTCAATATCTTTTAATAACTTATTGTGAAAAATAATCAGAAAAAATAACTCAATTTAACAAAATATTGTAAATAAACTGTATATCAGTACAAAAAGAAAAAAATACATTAAAAAAAAAAAACAAGAAAAGCCGATGGATACAGTTGCCAGGGAAACGGGCATACTGTGTCAATCACCACTATACCCATGACCTTCTGGAGCCCTGATCTCAGGAGATGCTGAAGTCCAGCCAGCCCCTGGCCCTGGCACCCCAACCCCTACCCCACCACCACCTTCCTGCCCACCCAGTGCCTCCCATACCTGTTCCAAGCGGAGTTGGAACTCAGCTGCCGAGCCTGGCGGGCTGCCTGGAAGCGGGGCAGGTCGCTGAGCGCCGGGGAGCTCATGAAGCGCGGTCTGGGCCTGCGGAAGGAGCCCATCTTGGGGAACTCGACGGGCAGGCTGGGGGCGAAGCCACGGGTCATAAGTCCAGGTGAGGGGGCGGCTTCTCCTCTGGACCAGAAGGTTCCAACTGCCCACCCAAAGGGCTTCTCCCAGAGCTGTCTTCTGGCCCTCGGGCGTTCTCAAAACCACGACGTTGGCCAATACCTGAAAAGAGAGGCCAGCTTTTCTTAAAAACGTCTGGGCTGAGCAGACCCCATCTTGGGGGAAGCTGGCTGGGACTTCCTGGCCAAACTACACCCCCCCCCAAAAAAAATTCACAGGACCCTACAGTACTATCTATATCTTGCAGGGTCCCATGCACAAGTGTTCACAAGCCTCCTTTTGGTTATAACCTTGTGGTCATCCCCAAGTGGAGAGGCACTCACAATGGGTTGAGGCCAGTCCTACAGAAATGTGATTTCTAAGCTATGTTTGACTGTGGTTCCCATGCACACCTATCAGAGTTTGGGCCCCCGCTGAGTTTCTGTAGCTTCCACCAAGTTTTCCATTGAGATGACTTTAAAAAAAAAAAAAAAATAGAGCACACAAGAGCTCCTTGTCTAGGCACTGAAGATGGTCTATGACTCGCCCTGACCCCAGCAGCCCACATGCATCGCTCACTATTTCCCAAAGCATCAGAGCCTCTTCCCTCAGTCTCATCTCCTCACCCTCCCTTACCTGCCATCCATTCATGCCCTCCATCAGAACATATTTATTGGTTACTACTTACTAACCAGGCTTCCCTAGTGGCTCAGTGGTAAAGAATCCACCTGCTAATGCAGGAGACGTGGGTTGGATCTCTGGGTCAGGAAGATCCCCTGGAGGAGGAAATGGCAACCCACTCCAGTATTCATGCCTGGAGAATCCCATGGACAGAGGAGCCTGGCTGGCTACAGTCCATGGGGTCGCAAAGAGTCAGACACAACTTAGTAATAAACAGCAACAATTTATTAACCATGTGAGCTGTGGAGCATCTGAAGATTTCTAAGACCTAGTCCCCACCCTCAAGAGGCTCATGGTCTATGGCAAGAGAAGTCGTCATGTATTTGCTCATGCAATAAACATTTACAAAGCCCCTACAGCACTTCAGGTGCTCAGGTATTGGGGATGCATGGTGGCCATGGACAATGTGGTCCCTGCCCCATGGAGCTGTTCCATGTGAGGCTGCAGCCTTTTGATTGTATCTACAATTTCCCTTGGGGCTTCCCTGGTAGCTCAGCTGGTAAAGAACCAGCCTGCAATGCAGGAGACGCTGGTTTGATTCCTGCATTGGGAAAATCCACTGGAGAAGAGATAGGCTACCCACTCCAGCATTCTTGGGCTTCCCTGTGGCTCAAATGGTAAAGAATCCACCTGCAATGCTGGAGACCTGGGTTCGATCCCGGGGTGGGAAGATCCCCTGGAGGAGGGCATGGCAACCCCCTCCAGTATTCTTGCCTGGAGAATCCCATGGACATAGAAGCCTGGTGGGCTACAGTCCTTGGGGCTGTAAAGAGTCAGACACGACTGAGCGACTGATCACAGCACAGCCCTGTTTCCCTGCCCAGAACCCCCTCCCTCTTCCTCTCTGCTTATCTAAATCTAACTTACCCTGCAGGGTTGGGCTCAATGACACTGTCTCCTGGAAACCTTTATGACTCCATGGTTGATGACTGTGAGTGAATCTGGGTTCAAATCTTAACAAGGTCACTCCCAGGTTGTGTGACTTCGGGCTGATTGAGTATGAGAGTCCTCAGCTGCTAGCAATGCCAACTTCACAGGGCAGCTAAGAGGGGAAATGAGATGGTGTGACCTGCCCAGCTAAACAGCAGACCTGAGGCTCTCAAGCACCGGCTATTTCTGTTCAGACCTGTCTCTCTCACTTCTCTGGGCACTTTTGAACCTGCCATTTCAGTCTTTTATCCTTCAGTCAGCGTCAAGTCCAAACTGACAATGCAAAGTGAGTTTGGGAACTGGTCAGAGTGAAGAACAAAAGGAAACCACCAAGATCACAGTCACTTTTTTCTTCCAAAGCTTTAGGGTTTAGCCCAAAAATATTCTCAGTGGCACCTCACCAGCTACTCTGCTGTGTCCCCAAAACCAACACTGAAAGAAAAAGATATTCCAGCCACAAATGCCAACTTTCCAGCTGGCAGGGGGAGCAGGTTTTGCAGGCCCAGCTGCGGTGTTGGAAGAAGGAAGAATCCAGGTCCCTCCTCCCAGGGAAACAGGCTGCCCTGGTCAGCGAAGCACTGAGGCTGCTAGCTGGGCCCTGAGACTGTCCATCCAGAGGGCGTGGGCAGGGTTACCACTCCCTGTAGACAGTGGGCACCGTGACAATGTACTTGTAAAACCAAGAGCCCAGAAAGGAATGACTCGTCCTGCCTCTGACATTTCTTAAATGTGTCCCACTTTCTCTGACAGTCTCCTGCCCTTCACCCCATTCTCAGAATGAGCCGATGATGACTAAACTTTACCAATAAATGCTGAGGAAGTCATGACAGACCTGCTCACTTTCAGAGGGTCTTAATAACCTCACAAGTGCCCCTGGAAGGTGGAAATTTGCCTATTTGCATAGGCAAATAAATGAGTGGGGCAATGCAGTAATAAAACCACGGGAGCCCTTCAGACGCCTTAAACTAGCTGGCTTTGGGATTTAACTTGCCCGGTAAAGGTCACACGATTGAGAGAGACTCTGTTTCACCGCCCTTCTTTAAATGGGCCTGTTAAGTGCAATTCATCTGTGTAATTATGGGATATTAACTCCATTTACGAGGATCCTAAACTCCAGGTGATGGAGCTGCCTCCCACTCAGAGGCACCTGTACAGGGAAGTGGAAAGGTGAGCAGAATGCATCATTCGAGTCTTCTGGTTTCCTGCCGAAACACCACTTCTCCAGGAGGCTGGGCAGCACAGCGGATCCCGGGGCGGGCTCCTACTCGCCCCCCGCCCCCCTTCTCAGTTACTGCCTCCCGTCCCACTGCCAGGCTTCCTGCTCCAAGCCGTGTGCACATCCAGCAAGCCTCATGGGCAGCCGCATCTACATAGGCAACCCTTTTAACTAAGGGAGACTTTCAGCCAAAAGGATGATGACTGCGGTGTCCTCAGCATTGCCTCGGCCGCACAGTAACACACAGCCAGGAGCATCTCTGACTCATTCGTCCCTTGCGAAACCTGCCACCCTCAGATCCAGACATTCCAAAGCTGTCTTCATCCACCATGCCTACTTCTGGCTGGAGCCAAGAGGCCTCCCCAGAGCACCGAGAGGAAGCTGCTGGGCGCGTTGATGAGAGGGGCCTAAAGGGGAAACGCTGACACACCCTGTATCCACCTGCCATGGCGCTGTCTCCTCACACCCGGGCTTGTCCCGACCTAAACAGGACAAGGCAGAAACTCACAAGACAGACGGGGCTTCGGAGTGAAGCCTGGCCAGGCTCTCGCTTACAGGGGACAAGAGTGAGGCCCAGAGGAGCAGAGAAAGGTCTGATGTCGGAGGTAGGAGACAGCCAGGACTGGCTAGAACTCAGGTTCCCTCATTCCTGATCTAGAAAGTTTCCCAGCCCCCACCTAGGCCATTCTGTAGGCTCTTTGAAGACGGCAATCAGATCAAGACTTACTCATCTCTGTAACCTCAAGCCTAAGGGTACTGCTGAAGCTAAAAATGAAGAAAGACTAGCAACTCATAAGGCACCAACTGCCTGCCTGACTTGATGACAAACACTGTCACAAAACCCCATCTGAAGATCAGAGAAGTTAAGTAACCTGCCAGAAGTCACACAGCTATTAAGAGGCAGATCACTGACTGACGACTGGCCTCATCCTGCAGCCCGTTCTCACTTTGCTGGGAGACCAGACCTGGCCAGGAAAATCACAACTGAAGCTACCAAGCTAGGCAGGAACATCTAGTCACAGAATTTCATATTAAAATTTAAACCTCATGCCCCAGAGATGGATCAACAGACGTAGGGAACACTAAGACCACACTTGACACGGGCAAGGGGAGCACAAGTAGGAGAAAAAAGGAAGGCAAAAGCGTGGACTGCTCTAGCTAGACACCCCACCCCTTACTCTCTGTGCGACCTTGGCAGACCTCTTGACCTCTCTGAGGCTCAGTTGCCTCCTGCAGGAGATGAGCCAGCTAGCGTGACAACCTCAGGGTTGAATGAGGATAAAAGGAGGATATTTGTAAAGCACTTAGATGGAACAGTGCGTGGCAAACAGCAAATGCTTCACAAGTGCTTGTTAAATAAATAACTTGTTATTTCTAAACCTCTAGGCAATGACAGCAGTTGGGAACACAGCAACGCTTCCTCCGGCTTATGGCGGCCTCACAAACATCTGGAAAATACTCACTTGGGAGCAGGCCAGGTCTCTGAGCCCCCGTGGTGGTCATAGAGCATTAGGGCCTTGGGTTACTCAGGATGGTATTTATTGAGGCATGATGCCTTTCAACTCCTTTCCTGCAGCATGGTTTCTGGGTGGCAGTGGGGTGGGGGTTGGTCACAGAGTGAAGCAAGCTAAGAATTACTGGCCCTTTGGCCCAGCAGTTCCACTTCTAAGAATGTACCCTACAGAAATGGTCACATGGTCCTGAAGACTGGCAGATATGCCAGTTCTTTGCAGTAATGAATAATGGAAACTACCAAAATATCCACCCATAGGGGGCAGGTTAATCAACGATGATACCCCCTAAATGGAGTGGTTGCTGTTCAGTTGCTCAGTCGCATCAAACTCTTCGCAACCCCATGGACTGTAGCCCACCAAGCTCTTCTGTCTATGGAATTTTCCAGGCAAGAATAATGGAACGGGTTGCCATTTCCTGCTCTAGGGGATCTTCCCTAGTCAGGGATCGAACCCATGTCTGCTGCATCTCCTGCATTGCAAGCAGATTCTTTACCACTGTGTCCCCTGGGAAGCCCAGATGGAACATTTAACATACCATTAAAATTAACAGGAATGACTGTAGTTCTCAAGGAGGAGTGGTCACTAGAGGCTTTTGAATCAGGCAAACCCTGGTATCAATGCTCATTCTGCCATTCATTGACTGTAGGAGGCAGAAAAA